TTAGATAATAAATGGTTTGAGTTTAATCAAAATATTAGTTTAGTCAGAAACATTTAAAAAGAGCAAACAGACGAATAGAATGTAATGGATAGGTTATATTTAGGGAAATAAAAGCTTTTAAATCGTTTTTACAGATCCACTCTTTTCCATTGATTTTTCTATATTTTATGCAAGCAAAATGACTGATGTTAACAAAGTTTACCCACCGTCAGATATAAATAAAGATTTAATTACATGTTTAAATGCAAAAATATGGCTTTATTGTTATGCATCAACCTCATTTTTTAATCATTGATATTTTTTGATTTTGATTTAAAATTGTACATTTGCAATATAAACAATAATTTCATAATATACATAATAATAACTTATACTTACAATACCTATACTTGTAAATACTTGTAATATAATAATTATGTTTATAATACTGATAAAAATTTTTATTGATATAAACTTTTGCTTTCAAACTTTAGTTATAAAACTTTAATTTAACTTAATAACTTTTACATAAATAACAATAACTAAAAAAAGATGTTATTTATTATATAGATTATAGCCATATGCTTATTTATTATAATTGAGTTACAGTAAGTTAAACAATATAAAATATTATGTTCCAGGCAATAGGTCTTATATGATATGTATCTTATGTATATCTTGTATTTTGCAGCATGTTAAAGAATATTTCTGCATGGTGCACTTTGACTGTTGACAATATTTGCATATTGATATGAGTAAAAGTGACTTCAACAACCAGAATGTGTTTTTAATAAATATTAATAATAACAGGTTAGTAAATATAATTATAGTAATAATGGCAATAACTTTTTATTATTAGAATTAGTGAGAGACTTATGTATAATAGAGCTACATTAACTTTGGGGGACAAATATAATAACTTGAGTAAATATTACCGTTGTTTATAACCTCGATTAGAGTAATGTAAGTAAATATTATTTTTATCTAAAGAATATTCGGCAAAAGTCAGTATTTCCTAAGTATTAAATATTATAAAAAAACATGTGTTTAAAAAAAAATTTTAAATGTATCATAAAATAAAAAAATAAGTATTTGAGTATAAAAAAAAACACATTTATTATTATAATGTATATACATCACATTGACTATGTTGTCTATAAAGTTGAGGTTGCAGCTGATATTTCAGCTTCAGCTATAAACTCATTAGCTTCAGATTAATGCTGAAGCTGATCAAGTTAGTTTAATCATCTTGATAGCTGATAGTAAAAGAGAATAATACTCCATAAATATTTTATATAAAATATATTTTTATGTAGGAATTTATTCAATGAAAATCTAAAATAGTGACAAAATTTAAACATACATGTAAATTTTAAATAAAATTTGCCAAAAGTTGTTGCTATTTATAAATGTTGCCATCAGAGCCTAGGCCTAGGATTTTCAATATTAGGGGACCCAAATTATGTTTTAAGAAATTTGTTTAAAAAGTGGTGTCCAAAAATCTAATTCCATTTTTAATTATCTTAAGGGGACCAACTATCTTTTGTTCAAAAAGAGTACACTTTGCAAGTATTTCATAGGTAAAAAAAAAGGTAGATAAAACGATAAAAAAACTTTATATTTTTTTTAAAACATATTTTTCGTCAGAGTGGATTTTTTTTGCTAGATGAGGATGTTTGTCTAATAATGTAGCTGCATCCTAAAATATTAAATCTCATATTAAATTTGACTGTTAAGACGGCATATAATGTTTTTACAGAAAGTTGCAACTTCTCACTGCTCCAATAATCATTCCTTAGTGAAAATACCTTTTCAACAGCAGCATTAGTGCCTGGACAACATAAAGAAATTTCTGTTAAAACTTTTAAATTTTCATGTGGGATATGTTCTACTCTAAAATGCCGAAAGATTTCTACCCATCTTTTTTTCAAGTTTTATTTTCTCATTGTTCCATTTCTTTAATTTTTCTTCATTTAAAAATAAATTTACTCTTCCGTTTTCTTCAAAAAGAAAATTGTCATTAATAACAATATCTTTTACTTCCTTTATTACAAATTCGGCTGCTGAAGAAACTTTTTTCCATTAAATTTTTCTATTTATAAGGGTCCATTTAAAACAATTCAATGCTCTAAAGTTCATTATCCATTCTTCGATATATTCATAGCAAATTTTATAAAAATTTTTAACTTCTTTAAAAATTTTTTTTTTTCCCGGGATTGGAATCTTCCAAAGCGGTCAGTTTATAGGCTTTAATATAGCCTTTAATATTGTATATAGTAGTGAATGTATATATTTTTTTATCTAAATTTGCCTTTAATTTGTTTATTTTTATTTTTCTGCAAAAAAAAATTTCTGTCACTTTATTCTTCTGAACTTATGTGATTAAGTTTTTGTTTTCTCTTACATATTTTCTCACTCATCTTATCTCATCCGTTCATTTTTCTCTTTTTTTTTTCATTTTTCTTAGTGTTACTCTTTTATATTTTTTTGTTAATTCCAACTTTTTAAATAGTATTGTTCCTTATACTTCTTTTTTTATTACTTGTATTAATGTAGTTTTCTTTCTTTCTTCTTATTTTTTATTTTATTTGTTTATTTTATGAAGGTGTTGCTCCATTGACTTGTTTTTAATATGAGTGACACCGAACATAAATTTGTAAATTATAATTAAGTTTGTAATTTTTGATTTTATGGTTAATTAACAATAAGCGCATGCGTAGTATGTACAGTAAGGTTTTTGTTATCCTTTTATTTAATTAAATAGATGGATAAAAAACTTTGCTGTACATACTACGCATGCCTCAAGACTGTCAAGCATGGCATACATACTGCACATCAAAGATCAGCCTGGGGATTACATATGCAAATGTTGGATCCATCTCTTTTCACAAATTTAATTTTGACATTGTTAGAAAAAGAGGTCTGTAGTATCTATCAATCTATCTCTCCAGGTTCATAATACGGCCTCTCAATTGTGTTAAAAATGGCAGCCATATGTGCGTTCAAAATTTAAATCACTGTCAAACTTGTATCTGGTGTTTGCCCTGTCCTCTGACGTGCTGGAAACGGCTAGCAATATGTGCGCATGAAATTCAAATCACTGTCAAAATAATTTTAAATATTTAATTAATAAAATTGAAAGGAAATAATATTAAAAAAAATGTTTTAGAAATACAAATGAGTACAAAATTATACAAATGAGTACTTTCAGAGTACAGGATTTGAAAAAAGTACGGTTTGTGAAAAAAGAGTAAAAAAACTCAGTAAATGAGAATAGCAGGTCACCTTAATTGTCTACATAATTTTTTGGTAGATTTCAAAGTTCTTGCAAAAGATGGTTTTATCTATGAAAATATTGAGTTTAAAATCAATCTTGCTGTTATCATATGTGATGCACCAGCTAGAGCATTTGTAAAGTGTATTAAAGGACACAATAGTTATAACTGATGTGAATGTTGTGCTTAGAAAGGAGAGTGGTGTGGCAAGATAATTTTCCTACATATTTCACTAATTTTGAGCACTGATTCAGATTTTTTGTCATTAAAAGCATTCTAATTATCTTAGTGGTGTGTTAAATTGAATTAAATTTTGACATGGTGACAAAGTTTCCTTTAGACTTAATGCATCTAGTATGCTTAGGGGTAATGCGAAGATTTCTCAACTTATGGTTAAATTGCCCAAATGTTGTAAATTGTCTCAGATTACAGTCAATACTTTATCTGGCGGATTGTTCCAGATACGTCATTACATTCCAAGAAATTTTTATAGAAAATCAAGGTTTTAATTAGATATTAAAAAATGGAAAACAACTGAGCTTAGACTATTTATATTAAACATTTGACCAGTTGTTTAAAGGGAATGGTTAAGCCAAAAATGTATTGAATTTTTTAGATTTTTCAGTTGTAGTTCTACTTTCATAATGTTTCATTTTGTTGAAAAAATATGTTAATTTTGCTTTTCAGCTACTTATTTTTATATGTGAACTTTATCATAAGGATTAACTAGTGTACAATGTCCATTCATTAGCACATATAGAAAATAATGGAGTTAAATTTTAGGTACTTGATAGATGTCCCTCTTTCAAATACAAAACTTTTTCAGGTCAATTAAAAAATGTTTGTCTAGGGGGCTCATTTGCAAATTTAGGGGCCCTTTTACAAATGTAAGGATTTTTTTTTTTTTAGGATTTTTATTTAGATTTTTATTTAGTTTTTAGGAATTTTGGGGCCCTTATGACAGGTTTTTTTTTGGAATGGGGGGCTTGTATCTAGTAGCCATGGCACTGTATATAAGGTATATACAATATATATCAAGTTATATACAATATAAATAAAAAAATATATTTGTTTAATAATTTTATATAATTTATTTATCAGTAACTAAAGAAATGTTATCAATTTATTATATGAATCATAAGCATGTGCTTATCTATTACAAGTGAAAATTGATGGTGAAAATTACATTTTTTATCTGAAGAGAGTTGATAGAAATTGTAAGAGTTTTATAACATATTAAAATTAATGTATGTGTTACCAATAAAATTTAAAACTAACAGTTAAACTTAATTTTTTACAGTTCATATTGAAACGAGATATTGTGTAAAGAGGTTTTCAAAGAAGTCGTTTTAACAACAATGGAAAAGCTTCCGATTCCCGAGATAAACGTGAAAGCATTTGGTACATCCCAGCAAACCATAACACTCGGGTCCCGCGCCGTATTTGTCTGGGCTAGCCTGGGTTTCCCAGCCTGGGTTCAGCGAGGTTTTTGTGTCGGTTTCAGAGTGGGTCCCGTGTAGATTTCGCGAACCATCACGTATATGAATTCCACTGCGAACACATTAGAAATCCAATAAAATTTAATTTTTTAAGCGACTTGGAAATTTTGAGCTTTTAATTTATAGATTTATCTATGTTATATACATAGACTATGTATTTATTTATATGAAATGTTTATATAAACGTTTATATGTTTTATATGTAATGTTTATATAATTATATACACATTTAAATGTTATTTATGCTATTTCGTATAATGAATTATTTCAATATACAAAATATATTTAAATAGTTTATTTTATTTTATTTATTATACGAAAATTCGTGTTTCGACAGGTAATCTATTGCATGTTTCATTAGATAACTGTTGCATGTTTTAGCTAACCATAGTTGTTGGTTTGTATTATCTTTACATATTTATTATTTAAACAACAGCTGTTATCAGAAAATATTAACTAAATTTAAAAATGGCAACATTTAACGTTAATTTCAAGACGTGTTCAGATAGAACAAAAAGAAGAAGAATTAATTCAAGAGTTACAAATATACTGACAGAGTTATCTCAGAAAGATAAACATGAAAGTATTTCCATGCTAGATAATCCTGATATTACTTCAAGGACTGTGAATGACATAAGCTTTAGTAGTTGTAAAAAAAGTTTTGATCAAAATGCAAATAGGCACAAAAATCGAAATAAACATTTAGCTACTTTTGATAGATCTCAAACCGAGTTTTCAGAAATGCTCTCTGATAGTATTGAAAATAAATCAAGTGTTGATTATAGTAGTTGTGGTTTGGAAGTTGATAAAGTTATCAGCACCTTAAGTGATGATACTGATGATAATAATAAAAGTGATGAATTTACACTAGGTAATAAATTGCAAGATTGGGCAATAACCTATCGTGTATCTCATTCAGCTTTAGGAAGTTTATTACGCATATTGAATCCATTACACTCTAATCTTCCTATTGATTCAAGAACTCTTTTAAATACTCGCCGAAATGTTGACATCAAGCATGTTGCAGGTGGAGAATATTATTATTTTGGGGTGAAGTATTGGATACAAAATATTTTTAAATTCAATCTGCCCAATTCTCAAGTTGAACTTTTACATATTCATATCAACATTGATGGTGTACCACTTTTTAACAGCAATTCTATTTCTTTTTGGCCAATTCTTGGTTCACTGAAAGAGTGTCCGTTAAGCGGAACTTTTCCTATTGCTATTTATAGTAGTACAAAAAAACCTACTTCTCTTGATGAATATTTGAATGATATTGTTTCAGAAATGAAGACGTTAAAGCAACATGGCTTTTTGTTTAATAATAAACTTACAGAGTGAAAATTGATGCTATAATATGCGATACACCAGCAAGAGCATTTATTAAATGTATTAAGCCTCACTCTGGTTATAATTCATGTGAGAGATGTATGCAGCGTGGTAAATGGTGTAACAAAATCACACTACCTAATATAGCAGCACCAATAATTACAGACTTTATTTTTACTGTGCGTCAGTATTCTAAACATCATGTAGGTACTTCACCATTGGAGGAGTTGGGTTGTGGTATGGTTACAGAATTTCCGTTAGATTATATGCACATGGTGTGTTTAGGTGTTATGCGCAGGATTCTGTTTCAATGGATTCATGGACCGCGTGGGTATTGTAAGCTATCTCAGTTACAGTTATCTATGATATCTGACAACTTAGCTGTTATTCGTAAACACATCCCGAGAGAGTTTTCACGAAAACCAAGATCTCTTTCAGAATATAAAAAATGAAAAGCGACTGAATTAAGGCAATTTTTATTGTACACTGGGCCCGTTGTCTTGAAAAATGTTCTAAAAGACACAGTTTATTCAAATTTCCTTGATTTGTCTGTTGCCATACGAATATTGCTCAGCCCAAATTTATTGTCAAAAAATCTTGACTATGCTGAACAACTTTTAAAATACTTTGTGGTAACATTTTCAAAGTTATATGGTGAAAATCAACTTGTATATAATATTCATTCTTTAATACATTTACCAAGTGATGCTAAACGTTATGGTGTTCTTGATAACATTTCAGCGTTTAGATATGAAAGTTACCTAGGAAGATTAAAAAAGTTAGTTCGGAAGCCACAAAATCCAACTGGTCAAGTGGTACGCCGAATTATTGAAGGGCACTGCAACGTCAATGGAGTCACTTCCAATAAAAAACCTATCTTGAAGAAGATTCATTTTGATAGTCCTATTCCTGTTGAATACAAATCTTATATCCAGTTTGAACAATACTATGGACCGGACTATTTTGTTTCCACATCCATTGGAGATAATTGTTTTACAATTGAAAGTAAGTTAGGAATTGTAAAAAATATTCTGAATAATTCCACCTTTGCTGAACCTAGTAAAGCTTTAGTTGTGTTTGAAGAATTTGAAGATTTAGAATTATTTTTTTCAGATCCAGTTAGTTCGATTTCACTTTCAATATACTTTGTGACCAAACTTACTGGCATAAGACGAACCTTTCCTGTTACTAGTCTAGTGACTAAGTATCTTCTACTCCCATTTAAACAAGGATTTGTTGCTTTACCTCAAATGCATTTCTCATAAGTTGTAACAAAATTGTTTTCAAGTTTTTGCCATATTTATATAGTTTACATTGTGAATGTTTTAAATACGATTTCTTGTTCCATAAATAAATAAATATAAAAAAGTTTCGGCTTTGACAGGCTTAGTTGTGATATTATTTTAGATTATTTTCATTTGGTTTAAAAAAGTTACAGAATGAGTAAGTTATTAGAGTTATGATTACATGACATTGTTTATTTAATTTCAGAGGGGTTTTTACAATAATAAATTTTCAAAAATGTATGCTGTTCTCGAATATATTGAAACTAAAGAGATAGATTTTCTGCCAATCAAGTGGATGGTTGATAGACTCAACTGGGATGTTAAAAATCTAATCAAAAATAAAACTGTATTAAATTTTTACTATCCACCAGTAAACTCAGCAAATAAAGTGTTAAATGCCAAAAAATTATGTAGTAACCCAGAAGAACACTGGCTTTTATACAAAGTACGAATTCTGGGAACTGCAAGTAAGTTAAACTTTTGTTAAACTTTTAGATAATCTTTGTGTCACTCTTTTAATATAAAATTTAAACGTTAAAAATACAAAATGCTCTGGTAATGGTAGAAAGGATAACTTTCTCCCATTTCCAAAGTATGCTGACTGTGCATATTTTTGACAGCCAATAATATACATAAATTTGCAAGAAGTTAAAACAAAAATTGTTTAGAGCATAATATTTAACTAATGTTGTTTAAAATATTTTACTGCATATTTAAATCGTTGTACACAAAATATAAGTAATTTTTTCTAGACACTCTTAAAAGCGCAAAAGAAAAAACAAAACAGGCTGAAGAGACATCCAATGTTGATTATGATACAGATAATTCTAGTGATTATAGAGATATGGAAACACGGAAAATTAGGTTTGCGAATTCAAGTAAAATTTATTTTAGTTTTGTTAAGAGTTACCAAAAAAATTTAGCATATCATTGTTTTAAATTTATTTTAAACTTTTAAAAATATACTTGGTGGTTTTCAGATTTATAAATTATTTTAATATATTGAATGTTTTAATAATAAAATCAATTATTAAAAAAAAAATTCTAATTTATTTTTAATTATAATTTAAAATCTTTTTTTAGAAAAAGAAAATATTTTTTCACCTATGAAAGTGATGTTGATGATGATCAAGTTGAAGACTTTATTCAAGAAAGCGTATTTTTTTTTTTTTTTTTTTTTTTTTTTTTTTAACATCTTCACTTCCAACAAGGCTGCAAGCAACCACTATAAGAGTTGGAAGTTACTGGAAGAGAAAAGACTAAATCTGTAGAGTAAGATAACGATTGACTGATGACTTAAAAGATTGCAAATTATATGAATCAGGAAAGCAAGATGAAGGAAGCGAATTCCAAAGAACTGATGTTCGAGGAAAAAAACTAGAAGAATAAGAGTTTTTGAAGCACTTAGGAACAGTCACAGAAAAAGGATGAGACTTAATTGAATGGCGAGTAACACGAGAATGAATTTTAGTAGATGGCACAAGGGACACTAGCTCTTTAGAGCAGTGCCCATTATAGTATTTGTAGAAAAGAGAAAGAGAAGCAACATTACGACGATGTGACAAAGGTTGGAGATTGGCTGCCAGAGCAGGTCCAACTATGTTTACAATTCGTTTTTGCACCTTGTCTAAAAGAGAAAGAGCATCATTAGAAGATCCGCCCCAGATGTGGCAACAGTATTCCATACAGGGACGGATTTGAGATTTATAGAGATAGAGAATAGAATCTGGAGTAAGAAAGTGTCGAGCTCGATAAAGAGATGCAACCTTAGCAGATGCTAATTTTGCAATGGATTTGATATACGGTTTAAAAGAAAGATCAGAAGTAAGAGTTAATCCTAGAAGATGAATGGTAGATGACTCATCTAGTACATTACCATTCATAAATATAGGAAGATCTAAATTATTACGATAACGATTGGCCGAATAAAATTGAGTTTTATCTGAATTAAAGTTCACCAGCCACTGTGAGCCCCATGCTGTAGCAGAAGTGAGATCCTTTTCAAGCTCAGATACCCCCTCCAAGCAATCAGAGAGTGTAGGCTTCTTATCATGACAAGAGTAAATGGTAGTGTCGTCAGCGAATAATGCCACCTTAGATGTGAGAATATCTGGAAGATCGTTAATGTAAATTAAAAAGAGTATAGGGCCAAGGATTGAACCTTGAGGAACCCCTAAAGTTACAGGATGTGAAGAAGAGTGTTGTCCATCGAGGACAACTTTTATACTACGATTGGAAAGAAAGGACTCAATAATCTTAAAGACGTTACCAGCTACACCATAAGAAGAAAGCTTATGGAGAAGACCAGCATGCCAAACTTTATCAAAAGCTTTAGAAATGTCAAGTGCGATAGCCTTAACCTCTCCACCTCTATCTAATGCACGGTAAAACCTATCGGTTATTACTGTTAGCACATCAGCTGTAGAACGAGAAGACCGAAATCCATATTGATGATCAGAAAGTAAGTTATTTGATTCAAGATGAGAGATTAAGTGTTTGTTGATTAAAGATTCAAAAACATTGCTTATGACAGGAAGAAGACTAATGGGACGGTAGTTAGATGAATCAGATCGCTCTCCGGAATTTTTGAAAATAGGGATAACAGATGCTGCTTTCCAGCATGATGGAAAACAAGACTCTGATAAGCACTTGTTAAATAGTTTAGAAAGTATGGATGAAAGCTCCGGAGAACACCTCTGCAAGACTACAACAGGAATGTTGTCAGGACCACAAGCTGTTGAAGAGTCTAAGCAGGAAATTACTTTAGATACAGAAGCTGAAGTGATGCGAATGTCAAGCAAGGGATCAACCTGTTTGACGGCTATGTCAGGTAAAACGCAACTAGTGGAATCAAGAGATGATATTGATGAAAAGTTCTTTGCAAACAATTCAGCTTTGTCTTTAGGTGAGGTGACAAAGTCTGAACCATACAAGAGAGAAGGAATAACAGATTTGCCCTTATTATTGATATTGTTAAAGATTCTCCAGAAGTCTCGAGAGCCTAATTTTTGTGATGAGATACAAGATTTAATGACCTGGGAATAGCGAGCTTTGGCGTCAGACAAAACCTTTTTGCAATGGTTTCTGGCGATAGTGAACAGATGTCTGTTTTCTGGAGAATTGTTTTGCTGATAGATATGGAAGTAACGGTTTCGATTAGAAATTGCTGCAGCGCAATGTGAGGAAAACCAAGGAGAAGAGCGAGGCTTGACCTGGAATCGTCGAGAGGGAATAAAAAATTCCATGCCAGCCTGAATCCACGAAGTTATGTAAGAAGCACATTTGTCAGCAGGAAGACGAAAGATTTCTACCCAAGGGCCATCACGAAGAAAATCACGGAAAGAGTCCCAGTCAGCTTTAAGGTAGTTGTATGTGGTACGATGATAGGGGGATTCTGATGAAGTAGAAGAATTTGATAATAGTTTTAGAGAGATCAAACCGTGATCAGAAGTACCTAAGGGTGAATGTGGAGAAATTGAGCACTGACTAGGATCCAAAACAAGACATAAGTCGAGTAGAGAAGGTAAATGATTAGGGTTGTCTGGAAAACGAGTTGGAAAGTTGACTATTTGAGTTAGAGGTTGAGAAAGGCAAAAGTTGAGGGCCTTAACGCCAGCAGAGTCACTGACACTAGAGCCAAGCCAATCGGTGTGATGGGCATTAAAGTCACCAACAACGACAATATTGGCCGATGGATAAAGAGAGAGGGCTTGGTCAATTTGATCAGAAATAGCATCAAGAGTAGTGCAATCTTGGGATGAAGGAGAGCGATATAGAACAAAGAGAAAGGCGATAGAGTGAAGTTGTGCTAAACGAAAGCACATAAATGAATAGTCTGTAGATTCAAACCTAGTTTCACGACAAATGGGTGAGTTCTTACGAATGTAGATGCCCAGGCCAAGCATGTGATTATTGGAGTCTTTACGAATTAAAGGAAGAGAACCATCAACACTAAGATCACAAGATGGGACAGCTGAACTCAAATTAGTCTCACAAAGAGCAAGTAGGTCTGGTGAACTTTGCAAGAGATAAGACTCAACAGAAGAAAAGTTACTTCGAAGACCACGAATATTAGTAAATGATAGGTTTAGAGAACTTGGTGATGACAATGGTTTTTTGTGTTTTTTAGTTTTAGGTACTTTAGTCATTTTAAATTTATAAAGAACTTGACTCAAGTATAGATAGTACTCAGTACACTATTTATTAACTAAGCAATAGCCTCATTACTATTAATAAACCCTAAGCCGTAACAAAGGGCTCCAAATGTGGCCTCTGCAATGCACACCAAAAGTACAAACAGGGACACCATCCATGCGCAACATGGCACTGTTAGTACTCTGATATTTTTCGGCTGTTGATGGAATCAGCCTCTCTGAGAGCTACCACAGAGTTCGGGAAACCTGACTACCAGCCGGCCTCAGAACCATAAAACTGAGTTTTAGAGCTGTACCCTCATTAGGAGATAATAGAATGAGTTGCCCAGTCATAAAAATAGAGATACAAGCAATACCCACGCATTGAGTCAAGAAGATCCAGCGTTCAACATCCTAAACTGGAAACAATGAATTAAAAATACATCTGCGCCAGCCTAATAGATGAGGAAGGGGTGCGAGGCTGGTCAACAGATAGAATCTGTTTACCCCTTAAGTCTTTGCCTAGGAGGCCTTCTACAGGACAGCAGCTGGATGCATGTAACATCTGCCCAAGATGAGTATTTTTATCGAGACACCATCTCTAGCCTTTACTCAACCAAGAGCCCCAAGGCAGGGGGTGTTTTAATTCGGAGTTAACTTCTCCTAGCCTTTGCCTAAAAAAGCGTATCCTACAAGGCAGCAGGACATGGAGCAGGTTGTACTGGGTTACATGTTACCAGTAGCAGGAAAACCTGACCTGACCTATTAACAGGGTAAAATAAATTAGTTCTATTTGCATAGTGTATATATTATGAAAAAAAAGTGTAATATTATAAAAAAAAAAATTAATTTAATATTATTATATTTTTTTATTGTCCCATTTTATATTTTCAAATTTTATTAGGCTTTTTGTAGAATAGAAGTTTGAATATTTTAAAATTTGAAAAACTAGTAGTGCTAATAGATTAATAGTTAATAGACTATTGGTAAAGTTTATTGAAAAATAGGCTGTTAAAATACCCATAGACAATTAAAGTTTATATTTTAATAATCATAGGAAGTATACATTGGTTTTTAAGTTTAAAACCTATTTTTTTAAATTTAATTTAAAAACTTTATTTTTCGTTGAATTGTTTACAATAGTTTTATAAAAAAATATAAACTAATTAAAATCAACACATTAAACTGTATGAGACAATACACACAAACATTTATATCGTGAGTTATATAGAATTTTTTTTTTTCAAGTTACAGTTTGTATATATGTATGCATATAAAGGTATATTACAATTCTGGAAATAATAAATGACAACAAATTAATTTTTTTCACGTAAAATTTTAAACATAAAAAACAAAAAACCACAATAAATCAAAATAGAAAAAATTTAAAAAAATGAATTCTTTTTGACAAATTTTACAACGCCGCTTTAAAATTCTATTTTTGAACATCTTTCGAAGATTTTGTTTTTTAATTGTTGTTTCAGAAATACAAACAGCTGTGTTATTACAAAACCAACACCACCTGAACATTTGAGGGCAATACAATCAAGCTCACATATGTCTCAGGTTAAAATCAAAGAAAATGTCTCA